CGGCCCCCAGGAACTTGGGGCCCTAGGCACCTGCCTGGTATTGCCTAATGGTAAATCTAACCCCCCCGCCCCTGAGTTGGTCTCCTGCAGGGATCTAGTCTCCCTGATCTCTGATCTTTAGTCTGGATGGGTTTAGTTTCACAGTTTTTATCTTTATTTTTCTGCTGATTTTCTTCCTGCTTTGCTGCATTTTCTCTTCTTCTGCATCTCTTCCACTTTCCTCCAGAAACAGACGTTGGTTCTGATGCTTTCTGTCTCCAGCACCTGCAGGGCTCTGATCGGTGGATGGATGATTTTGGACAGACGTGCGACCATGTGGACTTCATAGAGAGGTCCATGAAATACCTGAAGTGCCTTCAGCACATCGAGGAAGTGAGGTATGGTGGCCTGGGAGGGACGGTTCAGGAGAAGAACACAAACAAACCCGTTTTTTCCCAACAGTCCAAAGAATATATCCCCAGAGGATCAACCTGCTTTGTGTTGATGAGAAGCGGGTCAGTTCTGTTTGCTCCCACGGAGCCCATTTCCACCCAGCCTCTTCCTTAATGTCGACCCCTGAGCTGAGGATCCAGGTCTCTTTGGAGAAGTTCTGCTCTCCTCTGGTCCGCCTCAGAAAGTGGACCTCTGCTCGGTTTTTGGACCAGGACCAGTGTTGGCTTGAATGTAATCCCTCCTGTGAGGGTCCAGATCTGCTCGGGGCCCCGCCCTTTCTTATGACATCATATGGCAGCTCCACTCGGACAAACTGCATCGCACCCGTTTCTTGAGGATCAAATCTTTTCTGGAGTCTGAACATATTATTCTCTATATTTGCTATGAAAGAATGTTTTCTATATTCGAAAGTAGAAAACAATCATTGTTAGCCTAAAACAGACTGAGCTCTGCTATTTAACAAGGAGACAAAAACAGGTCTCAGTTTATTTTATTAAGATCTGAGGTCAGAGGAGGACAAATGGAGCATTTTAAAAAAAGACTTTTGTAGAGATTTTAGACAAAACAGTTTTCCTACTGCTAGAAAACAAACGGTTGTTAAAAGTTAAAAGTAGCGTAGCTTAATAAGGCTAACAGAGCGAGCTAACAGAGGCTAACCTGTTAGCTTCAGCTAGCCACAGCGCTACCCAGCTCTTTGTATCAAGGTCTAACAGTTACTTTGTTCATCAGAAAAATATTTTTTTTCAGTTTTGTTCTCGATCAGGTAAAACTTCATCGGTCATTAGACATGCTAACGGACGCTGCGTGATGTTATTATTGTTGTCTGGGCAACCATGGTTTACATCATGTGGCAACGTTCAGCCAATTATGTAGCGTCACTTGCATGAAGCAGAACCAGAGCAGATCTGGTAGCTACAGCGTCATAAAGCTTCTAGATAGAACATGGCCGACTTTAAAAAAACTAAAATGGAAACCCTCTTAGCCTTCTTCGTGTTGTCAGACGGGTTCTGCTCGGCTCCTTTCCTCCTCTGGTTAAATGAAACTAATTTAAATCGGCTCATTTTTATGCTCCAGGAATGTTGCACATTGTGTAGCGGTTCTGTTCAGCTTTCTAAGCTCCGCCTTCTGTGTCCTGTCCGCAGCGCTGCCGTCCAGCAGTCTCTGATGATCAACAGCGTGTGGGACGCCATAAAGGGAGTGGAGAGCATGGCGGCTCTGGACTGCAGGCTGAACAGCTCCCAGTGTTCCCATCTGCGCCACTTCCTGAGGAAAACTCTGTGCTTCTGGCACAACATCATCAAGGACCGCCTGAGCAGGTGGACGTCCCTCAGAGCGCCGCCCTGCTGCCTGTCAGAGTTCACCCACTCATCCTCCTTCCACCTGTTTGCAGTGATTTTGAGAAAGTGTTGACTCAACTTCAGTGGCCCATCATCACACCCAGCCAGCCGGTGACCCCCCCTGCTAACTCCCTGGATCTGGGCGGCCAGTTGGAGGGTCTGCTGCTGCAGCTGCTCGCTCTGCAGACCTCGTATCCTTTCGTCCTCTGCAGATCCAGGAATATCTCCTATCTGCTGCCATCAGAGAGAAGCAGAGTTTAAAGAGCTGCAGACACAGAAAAGCTGCTAACCATAGCAGGGCTGCTCCAGACCACTAGGGGGAGATGATCATCGGCTCAGCATGTATTAAGCGGGTTTTAATGCAATGTGAGGGCGCTATTTGGAACCTGGAGGGGATGCAGACGTCTGAACACGTGTAGAAGTGTTCATTTTGGGAAGTGAAACTAAGGCCGCTTCTCTATTCATAAGAACGCGAGTACGGACTCGTGTCCTCGCCAAGGTTGTTCTTAACAAGAACCCAGGAAAGTCTGGACTCGGGGAGAACGGGAGCACCATGCGATTCCAAAAAACACCAAAAACTGACTAATTTAATAGCTTTTTGTACATGACTAAAGGTAAACACGCCCGTTGAGGTCGTTTAAAGTAATTTTTTGTAAAAAACTAAAGAGATGAACTGGTATTGACTCTGGGTCTGACAGATCACCTCCACCGTGTCACAAATAAAGGTTATTTAAAAGTTTAATGAGCTGTTAGGAAGGCGGCTCTGTTCTGTGGAACCTCCAGTGGGCCCATCTGCAGCGGCCAGGGCTAACGTTAGCCAGTCTGCGGCAGCCAGGGCTCACGATAGCCCGTCTGCGGCAGCCAGGGCTAACGTTAGCCCGTCTGCAGCGGCCAGGGCTAACTTTAGCCCGTCTGCGGCCGCCAGGGCTCACGATAGCCCGTCTGCAGCGGCCAGGGTTAACTTTAGCCCGTCTGCGGCGGCCAGGGCTAACAATAGCTAGTCTGCAGCGACCAGGGCTAACATTAGCCTGTCTGCAGCGGCCAGGGCTAACAATAGCCCGTCTGCAGTGGCCAGGGCTAACATTAGCCCGTCTGCAGCGGCCAGGGCTAACATTAGCCCGTCTGAAGTGGCCAGGGCTAACATTAGCCCCTCTGCGGCAGCCAGGGCTAACGTTAGCCCATCTGCAGTGGCCAGGGCTAACTTTAGCCCGTCTGCAGGGGACAGGGCTAACTTTAGCTGTCTGCGGCAGCCAGGGCTAACGTTAGCCCGTCTGCGGCAGCCAGGGCTAACTTTAGCCCGTCTGCGGCAGCCAGGGCTAACGTTTGCCCTTCTGCAGCGGCGAGGGCTAACTTTAGCCCGTCTGCGGCAGCCAGGGCTAACGTTTGCCCTTCTGCAGCGGCGAGGGCTAACTTT